CCCTTTTGTTTGGGATTTTTTAAAAGCAATTAAGATTACTAGTCCCCCCAGTTAAAAGGTGTTAAAGGGTAGGGGTATTTTTCCCACCTTTTCCTTAAAAAAAAAAAAAAAAAAGAGAAAAAGAGAAAAAGAAAAGAACCCACTTCTCTGGAGTTCTGTTCTGCATTAAAACAGATGATAAACGTGTGGGTTTTCAAACTGCCTTGTCCATGGGCCCTTGCCTATGCCTCACAGTACTGCCCTGCAGCTGCTATTCCTTGCCAAGGAGAGATCATTATCATCTGTTTGATAGGGCAAGGCCATGTGGCTCATGGTGATCCATTTTGATTGCCTCTTTACTTTAAAATCATTCATTTTTCTCTGCTGCATTGTTTCCCTCAAGTCTGCAGAGTATCCAGGAACTTCTTAAAGCATTGGATATCATGGTCTGAAGAGGACAGGGTTGCCACAGCAACTGCCCAGTGTTTCTGAGATCTATTCCTGCATCTTTCCTAACAGTCACGAATGTCACAAACTGCCGAGGCATTTGCTGCAAACAAAGCATGGCTATAGAAGAAGAGAATGAAAAAGAGCACCAAGGAGCTGGTGGTTGTAAGGGTGAGGTGTGTCAAGCTACAGGAAGAAGTGGCAGGCGTTTATGTTTTATGTTTAGTGCCCTAACTGTCTGGAGTGCTGTGCAAACGTCTGGAGAGTCTCAACACTTGACAGCACCTGATGTGACAGTAATGTCACTCAGCTTGTGATGTAGCTGCATGACCCACTCTGAGGGTGACATTTATTCCATCCTGGGGGAAAGTATTTGCAAATGTAGGAGGCCAAAGTTATCTACCTCCCTTTTTGTATGCTAAGTAAGTTTCTCTATAGGACAGAAAATGTCTTGCAAAGAGTGAAGTTTGTCAGCCAGAAATAATCATCCTTTTCATGGCTCTCAGCATGGACCGGGGAGCAGCTTGCTGTGTTTTGGCTCAGGAGGTCTAGCACATCCATTCCCCTTCTAACCTTGGTTTTCTTATCTCATGAACAGAGTTAATATTATTATGTTATCGGCACATATAATCTTTGGGTGATCTGTTTAGAAAGACGGTCTGTTCCATATGGTTCTGTTGTACTCTGGTTAATATGAGGGAAAGTACACCTGTGAGCTATCTTTTCTTTCTTTCTTTCTTTTTTTTTTTTTTTTTCCTTTGAGGAACAGAACTTAAAAGAGTTGCAAGCAATCAGATGCATTGGTTCTGTACACAGATCTTCTTATTTAGGGTGGCTGATGCCTGTGTGAGAAAGGCAGTATGAAAGAGCCAGACATGATTATTAAACTTGGCTTGGGAAAGAGCCAAAGTGAGCAGTTCATGTTTTGAATAGTGCTGTAAGCACATTTCCACTAAATGGAGTGGTATGGCCTGTGGCCTCTTGCTCTACTGGTACTTCAAACACGTGCATGAGCACTTCTCCAAATGTTGCAACATTTGGGAGACTATGTCCCACTCTGGGATTTCTTCCTTTCCATCCAGAATGTTTGCATATGTGTGGGAGATCTTACCACCATATGATTTCATGTAGTCTGTGCACACATCATGCAAAGTTGTAAATATGAAACTTAACTGCTAAGTATTGTATTATTGTTCTTGTTGCAAAGCTGGTGTTGTCTATATGAAGCTTAAGGGGATTCAGTCCAGTTCTCTTTGTCCTCCTGTGTGTGACTGGTGTGCTCTTAAGCACAGCTGCTTTGTGGCTGAAATGTCTTCATTAAGAACAGACAGAGAAGGATCAGGGGGAACATGGTCCAGTTGTCCAGAGAACTCTGCTTGGAAATGAGACAGGGTGGTTATAGCAGCAGTTCAGATTCGTATAAACACTATCCCCAGCTTCATATGATTTTAGCATTATAAAAACCAATCAAGTTATTGTTTTAAGACACAAAATGCCCCTAAGGGCCTTGCTTGCTCAACTGTAGTGAGGAATTAAATGCTCTCAGGCAGTGCAACATCCTCATTCACGGTAGTGTTGCAAGGCAAGGTAGTCATGAGTGGTAAATGGGCCCGTATTACAGTGACATTAGCATTTTAATGCAACTAAAGAGGAGGTAGATTGACTGTAATTTAGTATCTAGTTGCATGGCCTTGTGCAGGTCCCCTCATTGCTGCTCCACAGGGGCCGATTATAGTTGCACAGTGCACTTTGGGATCTAATTGGATTTACATGCAGTAATGGAGTTGTGTCACAGCAATGACTTTGCTATGTAAGCACTATGAAATTCCAGTACAACTAGTTATTTATATAAAAGCTATTAGTTACAGGATAATGCATGGGACTGACAGATTGTGCCAAACTCCAGGTTCCAGGCCAAACTCCAGTTCAGGAATGGCAAATGTTTTACCTTCTTCTGAAGCTGCTGCATGGGTCTGATGTGAAACGGAGCCTGCTGCCGAAGAGATGTTTATCCTTAGTATAAAGGCAGTGACCTGTTGGGGAGATCCAGCAGGATGCGACTTCTGCCTTCAGCTCCTCCTTTGGCTGGATATGTGGGCTGGCATGTGTTTCTGTTTCCTAGATCCTGCAAATGTGGTGAGCAAAGGGGGCTGGCAATAGCTAGAGGCACTAGTTAAACCAGGACGCCCATACGCTGTTCTTCTGGTGGTCTTCCTGCACCAGTTAACATGCAGGAAACTGGATTTGTCTCCAAAACCAGTCAGATATTTCTCCGTGACCTACTGCTCATTCTTTTCTTTCTCATACAGCTGCCTGCGGACTCCATCAGCTGCTTTTTGCCTCCTGTGTCTTTGCTCTGGCTCTTCAGCTCTCTTCTGAGCTGCAGAGACCAGCAAGAGCCTCAAGCTGAGCTGCTTTTCCTTTATCAACACACAGTCTCCACAAAGAGCTGCTCTGCAAGCAGTGAGTGCAAGGAGAAGCTAGTGCTGGCACGGAGCTGGCTGTGGTGGCCGATGGCATGGGCAGGGTGACAAGGACAGTGTGCCAGGCGCAGCTGCTCAGTGGCTGAGGCAGCACGGCTTGCACACGCGTGGCCTGAGGAAGGAGGTTTGGCCTGCACCATAGCTCTAGCTTCCACTGTGTTTCCCCAGCGACGGTAATTAGAGGCATCAGCTTGCTCAAGTCACAATTAGGCATGGTGGTTTTGCACTTTCTACAGTTCTCCCTAATGACAAAATCGTAGCTATTAACCAAAGCGAGTCTGTTTGGCACGGACTTCCTCCCCTTTAGGGCTGCAGAGTAAGATGGAGTATTGCTATTGTTTGGCACCAAACATGCTCTTTCATCCCTTCTGACACAGCACCTGCTGGTGCCTCTGAAGCATTCAAGCTCTTCCTCTCTGTGGTGCTGTAAGTTCTTTTAAAATATTGTGACTTAAGGGGAATAAAAAGAATAAAATTCCTCTCCCACACAGACCTTTGAAAGCTTGTATGGATGTAATTATATGCACGCACAGTAGGAGCAGGAATCCCATCATCCTGGCGATTTTCCTAATGATAGGTTTCTATAGCACAGTGCCATTTCTGCTTTAAAGTTAGAGGCATCTTTTCCTGGCAGCAGCTGTCCTGGGGTAAAGGCATCACAGGATGGAACAGCTGGAGAAATTGTCTCTCAGCTGCATGTGCAAAGCTCGGGACAAAGCGTTCCCCGCACACAAAAGAAAAAGATAAAAAGGTGAGGGTGGGTTTGGTGCGCCAGAAGGAGCTCTCCCTTATGTGATGGTGGCTCATATTCTGTCTGCAGCTTCTTCAAGCCATCCTCTGAAGGTTTCCATGCATGCTGAAGCCAGCTTGGATGGTTGCATGGCATGTTCTGAAAACATGCTGACCCCCAGATGTGGTACCAATTTGGGGCCCATCCGGTGGTGCAGTGGGCGTGTGGCTCAGCTGCTGGCAGTACCCAAACTACTTTGCATCAGGGCAATTGGCTGAGACTGTTTGCATCATCCATGTTTCCAAAGGGCAGCCATCCCCGCTCGTTGTTCAGAAATGTAGTTCCATGGTGACAGAGGAAGGACGTAAAATAAGTGGGATTAATGCAAAACAGAAAGGCTATGAATATTCATTAAATGCTTTATACTGTACTAGTTTCAGCCACCTCAAAACTCTTTGTTCGCTTCCTGCCGACAGCAAACTATAGACTTCTACTCACAGAAGTCTTCATGGGAGGCAGTTTTCAAAGGCAGGTTCACAAATGTTTGTGGGAAACAGATGTTAAATACACCCGCTCCAGAGATCCTGCTGAAATTCTGGCATGTTTGCACCACAAGGGAGCAGAAAGAGGGCCAAGCACCTTATTGATCATTTTGGAATATCTGCGAGTTCTCCCATATGATCTGAGGAGGCTGAATTATTTGCTTACAATGCCTACAATCCCAGGTGCGTGCCGAGCGCTAGTGGCCCAAGGTGCTGATGGAGGATGGGGGCTGCCCTGCCTGCAGGTCTGGTAGTGGCAGTGGGGCAGGTGGAGGAGCAGCCAAGGGGCTGCAAAGGCAGGCACCGCTGCAGCTTTTCTGTTCATCTCTCATTGCTCCCAGACAGTGAGAGAAAACTGTTTGCTCAGCTTTGTGCAGGAGGTGGCTGGGGAAGCACCCAGCATCTCTGACCATTGCTCCTCATGAGCCTCCTGGAAACACATCCCATCTCCCTTCCTCTGCCTTTTCCATTTTCCCAGTAAATGGGCTGTAAAGTCACAGCAGATTAAAGTTTGTCTAAACCTCCTATAAAATATTGAAAGCGCAGCTGTGATTAATCTAGTGCTGTTGTGGTATGAGGTGCATACATAACGGCACTACGGATTTACGTGTGGTCTGTGGGCATTAAAAACACCCCAAAGGTTGTTAAAGAGATTCTGAGGAATCAGATCCTTGCTGGGTATTAAAAGCTCTTCATTAGTGCTAATGTACACTAAATTAAGGTGGTTAATTAAGGCGATGGTCTGTTTTAATAAGTTATGTATTTAACATGACTGAATTTTATTGACTTCTGCAGTAATTGTGTATTTTTCTCTTCCAGGCGACAGAGAAAAATATGGGGCGCATAGGCAATTAAAGACTAGAAAAGACAGTGTGCTTCAAGTCCTGAGATTTGCTAAGGTGAAGCTTGCTTATAGTTCCGTTTTTCTGCATCTCAAATGCTCTCTCTGTTTCTGTCAGGGCTGATTTGATGTAGCTGTAGTGTGCAGGAGTGGAATAAGAAATGCACAGTTCACCTGCTGTCAGGTGAAGTCACCTGTGAGGTGTAGCACAGCAGGTCATCCCCCTTCAGTCTCCTAGTTATAAATCTGCCCTTATCTCTGTTCTATCAAGAGCAATACTCTGTTTACTGGAAGGGAACCATCTGTTAGACAAGGTCTTTTAGCAGAACTCAACTACTTTTGTTTAAAAGGAGTTAGATACTGCTTGCCAGTGGTGAGCATAGAAATCCTCATGGAAGAAGGATACACTTTGAAGGCAGGCAAGCAAGCTGCGCCAAATTTCCAGGCCTTCAAGCTAAGAGGCATGTTGCCATGTTGCTGAGGAAAGGATGCAGTGGAGTGAAGCCAAACCGTGGCAGTCCTTCACCACTGGTGAACCTGAGAGCTTCTGAGATGTTTCTAGTGACATATCCACTGGGACAGTCCCTGGGAATTGATTCACTGACATGGAAGAGAGCCTGGTCCATGTTTTCTAATTCCTTTAAGGGCTGTCTGGCAATGAATCTGGAGAGCTTCAGCAAATATATCTTCTATTAGTTGGTTGCATTGTGTGTGAACATGGGGAAGGTGTAAGTTAGCACCATTTGCTCCTCAAGCTGTTGGCTAATATTTTGTACAGCAGATACAGATACAGTTCTGATACAGCAGAACTGCCCAGGAGACTGGGGAGTCTCAGTCCTTGGAGGTACTCAGGACTTAACAAAATGTGACCCTGAGCACTCTGCTCAAATTTTTAGTCTTGGATTAAACCTTGAAATTGGCCCAGACTGGGGGCAGCGGGTGTTTTATTCGGTGGCATCCAGAGATCATATCAAACCTACATTTTTCAGTGAGTCTGTCTTCATGATAAAGGTGAGAGTGCAATTGAAGTGAAACTACAGGTTTCAGTCCAGTGTGAAAGTGATGAGGGAGTAGAGGAGAATGTCAGTGGTATCAAGGAGAAGCGTGTAAGCAGTTTTTGGGAGAGTGGTTGAGCAGCTGCCTTTAGATATGTGAAGTTCAAGGTATAGCTTCAAGGCGTGCAAAAATGAATGCCAGAAGGAAGGAAACAAATGGTGGCTGGAGAACAAAAAATTGCATCGCCTTGAAAACCTGGACTGTATTCCTAACTGATGAGAGCAGCTGGGGTATGTTTCATGGCCATGCTGCTGGGGTGTTTTAGACTCCTCATCATTTTCCAAGATAAAATTTGTATTAGGGGGAAATTGTTGAATAAGCTGCCTAAGAGAAAGTGGAACATTTATAGCTACATTTCAGACAAAAACAAATGTGTCTCATATGTCTCACAGATCTGAGATGGGACAAGCCAGGGAAAGCATCTGTCTGCCGCTGTCTTCTGCAGTTCTGACTGTTAATGTTTGCTTAGCATTAAATGTCTCTTGCAGAGGAGAACTTAATCTCTCACAAATTTGAGGCCTGTAGAAGGGGAGAGAAGATATTTTTAAAGGGTAGATTAGGATGTATGCGTTCAGATTTTATCTCACTTGTACCAGTGTGCAGCAGGAGTAACAAAAAATTTATTTGTTGTGTGTGTGGCTGAGAAGTGGGTAGGAATGCATCTCTTGGGTCAGGATTGCCCTTTCGTGTCAGTTATTTTCTTGCAGCTTGTGATTAGTGACTTCATGTAAAATGGTCTAATAATTACATTAGTTGCAAGGAATATTATTTGCATTTTGCTTGAGTTTGTTTGTAAATAATGTTAGTTATAGACTATTCCAAGTCTAAAGCACTATGCATATGTGAGCAAGATGGTAATATATTTCAGGTTTGTTGGAGTGCTTCCACTCTTACTTGAAATGGTTTTAAGTCTTGTGTAAGAAATCAGATCATGCTTTTGGTTAATGTCCCCTGTCACCCAGATGGTGAGTATTCATGTGCTGTTTGGGGACCCATGTGCCCAGACAGGGTGCATCGTGCTGCTCTGTGCAGGTGTCCCCAGGCTGTAGGTATTGAGGCAGTCACTTAAGGTTGTATTTATTTGTTGCTCTGCTGTGTGAAGCCTGGTAATTTTTGAAATTACAAATCTGAGCCCAGCAACAGCACTGGTAAAAATTTATGACAAACAAGGGAGCCCTCACTAGTCAAAGCCAAGTGTGTATTTGTTTCTAATGCTCCCATATGACTGTGACTGCATGACCACACCAGCACTGGCAGTCATGTTCGGAAGACCTCATTCGGAACATGTTTAGTCACCTTTCCTAATTCATACCTAGAAAACATTTTAACATACCCAGTATGGAGAGGAGCAATGCAAGAAATGGTAGCTTGTCTTTGAAAAGACACATGAATCAGAGCTGTTCCAAGGGAGCTCATCTTACAGAGGAAGCAGACCCAGACATGGATAGTGAATCAAGGCAGGAATGTGATTTATCAACCCTGCAAAGTGGCAGGACAGGGTAAGACTCAGAAGTTGCTGTTATCTAGTGTGGTGTCTCTGCAGTGAGATGAGTGTGTGTGACACAAAGTAACACAATACAGCTGAATTAGTTTCCTATTTATCTTTTTTTTTTTTTTTCGCTTTTTCTGCCTATGATATAGATTAAATGTGAGCACTCAAGGCAGCAGGACTTAGAAGTTTCTCTGATAATTTTCAGGCTGTGGCTGCTAGAGTGAGATTTAGCTCTCCTTGTTTCACTGGAGCATAATCTTTGTGTGATGGTGGGGACATTTGGGTGTCACTAATTCTGAAGCTCTTGAAGTATCTCTATCTTCTCTTCTTTCTGGAATATTGGCAGATGTGGCTTTAAACCCTCAGGAAGATGTGGGCATCTATTCCAGGCCCAAGTAAGAGCTCTGTGCCCCACTTCATCTCCTGCATTCACAGCTAGGCTATGAGTCTGTCTGGGTAGAAGAGTTAGATGTAGGAGGTAAAAGGAAACAAATGTTGAAGAGGAATATATTGCCTTGGTTCTCAGGTTCCAATAAGGTGGATTGTAGAACTGGCTTTTTGGATGTATTGAGGATTCCTCTCACAAAGGGGCTCCCTGAACAGCCCCAGGCCAGCAAAGGCACACTGTAGTGCTGCCCAGGAAAGCTCAGGTGCTGTGGAGGAGCAGTTATACATGTGCTTCATAGTCTACAGCGGCTTCTGAATTGCTCTCTATCTGTTTTGCCACTGGGAAGGAACTGCGTTGATTTTTAAACCAAGAAAAAGAAGTCAAGCAAACACACACAATGTGAATCTGACTGTTTACCTCAGCATCCTCTTGCTGGGAGACTTGAAGTCTTCTCACCCCTCTGGTTAAAGAAGAGCAGTTTCCACGGCCATAGAGGGAAGGACAGCACCCCAAAGTTTCTGTGGCTTAACAATAACAACTGTTATTTCTATTGGTTTTTTTTTTTCCTTTCAATTGGATTGTAGAGTGCTTCATTAGCAGCATATAATCAGATGTGGGTACATGTCTACTTTGGGAATGACATTCTCTGTAGTGTAAGGGGAGGAGATGGGCTAAGAAGCACAGGAGCTTTGGGCGGGCTTCTCCAGAGAGCTTATCAAAATTATGCTTCTGTTTGCATATGTATGCTTCCTTCTGTACAAGGTGCAGTGAATTCATTAACTTCTGTTTCAGTGAAAATTTTACTATTTTATGAATGCGTTTGTACTTGTAGGGTGATGGGAGGTGAAATTACTTTTTGGAAGATGCAGCCACTTCATTAAACAGCAAATTTTTGGGGACAGGAACTTTCTTCCAATGCAACTTCACCTGGTCAAACTTAGTAGCTGCTCTTCCAATACAAATACTGTCCTAAGCCCTTCTATGGTCTGAATTAGACCATATCGAGATTCAAAACGGACATTTTTTTTCCTGTGATTAAAAGCTTGCCAGCTTTGATCCACAGGCTCTGCCTCAAAAGACTTGTGCAGGATGCAGTTTGAATAACAGGACTTCAGCAGCCCACTAACATGTCACATTGCATGACAAGGAGGGGTGTGCCCCAGTGTGTGGAACTGAGCTGAGGATGGCCTCCTCAAGCCCTCTTTCTTTCACACACCACAGTCATTCTCAGTGTCTGAGCGTTTTCCTGAAAATATTCTCCGTTCACGTGGCTTCATTCCGTAAGGGAGGCTTGTATGGAGCCAGCTGTCCAAGATGCATGTTTGACTAGCCGATGGGCACAGCTTCTGGCTCCTGTGTCAGTACAGCTTTCTTCCTTGATTTGAAATATCCAGGTGTGTTCAGTGTTTCTTCAACTTGACAGACCTCAGGGACTAGAAAAAAATAAAATAAAATAAAACCAGCCATCATTTGCAGACATTTTTTTTCCCCCAGCATTTCACCCTGCAAGCAACGCCAAAGCTTTCTTTCAACCTTTCTATTTGCATTCCCCTCTACACCTGGAAGAATGCAAAGGGAATTAGCAGTGATCATTATCTCTTATTAGCCTGAGCTTTGGTACTCTGTTCAGGTAAAAAATGAGCACTTCTGTATAATGAACTCTACAGGGTCTGGAGGGAATAGACATGGAAATAGGGCTGTGTCATTCAAATAAAATTGAGTGTGCTAAAATAGTTTTGGTGTTTTGCAGGAAGAGTTGGATCAAGTGGCCTGAAGACCATGGAGGGAGACTGTCTGAGCTGCATGAAGTACCTGATGTTTCTTTTCAATTTTTTTATATTTGTAAGTATTTGGAATCTCTTGATTCTTTCTTTTTCCAGCAGCCAACAGAATAGGCTATAATTCAGTGAAGTTACCACAAAAGATCCCTCAGCTTTGCGCTAGCAATCACCAAGGATATTAATTTATGGCATCTGAAGGTGTTAAGACATTGAGTAAGGCAGCCCAGTGGCCACTGCTGTCTGCATTAAGGTTGTCCTTGACAAGAAAGACAAAGTAGGAAAGCTGTAGCTTATATTCATGGTCTGTCCTTGAATAGCAGAAGAAATTGTTTTCTAGTCCTGGGTGCCCTGCTGAGGTTTTTGCTAGCAAACAGAGATTTTTCTACCACATTCCTGGTGACCCATGTTGCTCTTGTCTTTGAAGGGTAGGAGCACCCAGCCATCCTGCCCCAACTGGGGCAAAGTGCCACTGTGGTGGAGAGGGTTCCCCTGTGCCTCTTCACTGGGCCATCCCCTGCAGATGTGGCAGACTCAAGACTCAGTCTTTCAAGCACTGGGCAGAGAATCAAAAGTTGGTAGAGCGAAGTGTTAAGAAAGAAAAGATGCTTTTGCTGCTGATGTTTCATTGAGTGAGCAAGAAATGCTGAGAGCAGCGTAACAGCATGTCAGCAGTCACCTGCTCAGCAGAGAATGTTTGCCACAGAAACAGATTTTCCAAAACACCTTTGATTAAAAGATACTGATGAAACCAGCATTCCTGCAGCAGCTGTTAATGTTGACCTGTCTCCTCCTTTCCCCCTCTTTCCTCTCATTGTGCTGTGACAGCTGGGAGGAGCATGCCTGCTAGGAGTTGGGATCTGGGTCATCGTGGATCCAACAGGTTTTCGAGAGATCGTGGCTGCCAACCCTCTGCTCTTCACAGGAGCATACATCATGCTGGCTATGGGAGCAATGCTCTTTCTGCTGGGTTTCCTTGGCTGCTGCGGTGCCATCCGTGAGAACAAATGTCTCCTACTTTTTGTAAGTGTCCTTGGACTTTATTAGCCTTTTGGTGCTCCCCAAGAATGGGGTGACTCTTAATCTAGATAAGTGATGCTGCAATTAGTGCATGAATGGGTGTCTATTTTTGCAGCCATTGTTCCCTTAGATATTAAGTACACTTAGAACACTTTTACAGACAGCTGGAAGTACAGGGAATTTGCTTCCTTCCTGAACCAGGCTTGAGTCTTGTGAGTCTGAATCTGGGGTTGTATTTTAACTTTGTCAAGCTTTGTCTCAAAAACATATAGAAAGTGATCAAAACCTGGATACTTTTCATATTAAAACCATTAGCTCCACTTGTAGATTAATTTCTTACTGGTTCACAACAGAGCAGAGAGAACATATAGAGTGAAGCATCTATGTAATGAGGCCCCACAGCAAAAATGCCCAGCTCTGAACTTGGATGATGTCCTTGTGTTTCAGCTCTCAATAGGTAGTTGATCCTTCATGCAACCTGGTCTGCTCCTGAAATGAACCAGGTTTGTTCTTTTCAGGCAATTTTCCACCCAAGGAGTTAAATTTCATTCCTTCTAGTCATTAGATAACACTTAAAATCAGTTTTTCTGACCCCTGCCTTAAGTTCTGATACTGCAGGGTTTCCAGCCATTATCTATTTGCAGAAAACATTATCAGTTATGTGTTAAAACACAAAGCTCAGTGGTTTTGTCAAAGGTGGCCTTTTGTTTCTTCCTCAGGATCTGCAAGTTTGTTCTTATTTATTTTTGTGTAAATGTTGATCTTACACTATTCTGTTATGATTCTGTCTTGCACAGCTGCTTCACAGTAAAAAAGAGGCTTGTATCTTAGCAGAACAGGAAAGTCCACTTTCTTAAAAACAAAGCTATTTTTTTTCCTAGAGTTCAGCCTGGCTCCACTGAAGTGAATTCTCTGTAGCACGTGGCTTGCCCACCCCTAGACTTTATAACCAGCATGTGAGAGCCCCTCTCTGGAAGCCTTTGTGGATAGGATCGCTAGTGAATCATCTGAGAAGTAAATAAGAAAGTTCAATATATCACCTGTCAAGTCAGGGAAACCTGCCAAAAGGAGCCTCACAAAATGTGAAGAATCAGGCCCAGTGAGCCTGAGTTTACTCAGAGCCTAACATAATCAGATTAAGAAACTAAAAGTTATATTTGATGAAAAGTATTGGTTACAAGTGAATGTGAGAGAGAGATTTTGAGTTTGGACCACATAAGCAGCATACAGATAGAGGACACGGCTGGAAGAGGGGACTTCTGTGCTGTACTTTCCTGACATAGCATCACTGAGGTCAATAGTTACTTGAATATTCCTCCCAGTGTTTTATTTTTGCTCCAGTGCATTCAAACTTGTGGCTATTATTTCTAACTCATAGAAATTGTTCTGAGCCCCGCTGCTTTATTTATTTAGTTTTGTTATTATTTTATTATATACTTGGAATCTGAGACTTCAATGGGCATGAGATAATACCTGGAACTAGCAGGAACTCTGAAAGTAATCACTGGATGAGGAATTAGCATTCCAGCTTCTGACGTCAAAGTCAGCTCCCATAACCTGTCATCCGGTGTCCAACAGCGGCAAAGCACTTGCACAGTGATCTGTGCTGATGCCAAGTGAGAAGAGATATTTTACTAATTTCTGTTTTTTGGGAGGCCAGACCAGCTGACATTAAAATGCACAGAAGATCTGTGCAACCAGAAGTCTAATGGGAGTATTTTAGACATAGAAAGGGCAAACTATTCATGAGCGAATGCCAGTGAGACTGGGAGCTCGCTTGCAGAACTGAGAACGTTTGGCTTTAGAGGTGGTACTTAGGGAGAAGTTGCCTGATCAAATCAAGTCCTCTTACAAAGCTGTTAAAGAATTCATGAGCCAGGGCTGCTTGAGTGAGATTTCACAGTGATGCATAATATATATGTGAAGCTTTTGGTTCAAATATAAATAAAGGATAGAAGGGACAAGACAGATGCACACATACATGTTCTCTAGGTTCTGACTTCTGTATTTACAGTGTCTTTTATTTTACATTAAGCTGCTTGTCTTTTGGAAAGAAAGAACAACAACCCACACTCACCACCACCACCAACAAAAAATCCTTGTGAAACCCAGCATGCTGCATTAAGCACAAGGCTGTGAAATGTTTCTAGATTTTCCAGCATTTGGATGTGGCTCACAAAATACAACAAAGGTGGGCCTGAAAATTCAGGATTGGCTTTATTCTGGGTTGTCCTAAAGACCCTATGGCTGTAAAAGAACACTGTAGAAATCAGAATCCAGAGTGCTACTGAGTGTACAAAACAAAATGTGTGCACATGTTTTTATTTTGCCACAGGAGACTGAATTCAGGTTCGCAAAAGAAGTCTGTGTTAGCTTGATTTGGCTTAGCTGTGAGGGTGGATGTCCTTTTTTGCACTCTTGTAATACAGATACTGCAGCCTCTACAGCTTTCCAACATGAAAACACAAGTCCTTTGCATTTAAAGGCAATGACTGCTCATTCTGCAACAACTGAAGCTGGAACAGTAGGTGTGTTGTAGGAAAGAAATGTGAAACATTGACTTGTGGAAGCTTGTGACAATTGTGGAGCTGTCACCAAGACAGGATTTTTATCCACAACAGGAGATCCCATTTCTAAGGATGATGTTCAGACCCTCACGTTGGATGAGTAGGGTGCCTTTACACAAGTGCCCAGTCTCAGGCATGGGCTTGTATGTGAAGCTGCTGTGTCCCATACACTGCGTTGACCAGTTGGCTGTCCAGAGTGCTCGTATTTCAGTAATTGCTTAATTTAATTCTGTGAGGCAAGACATAATAAGCAGATGCTGTGTTGCCTTAAAATGCAGAGTGAGAGCAAGTTCTAAGACACGGATGATCCATCTCTTTTTTTCTCATCACCTCCAGTGTCTGCTTCTGTGTTTTCTACAGTAACTATTTTTCAGATCTGTAATGCACAATGTAAGTGTGTATCAGTTTGGGAATGATAATGAGCCTTATCAGAGGTAATCTGGAGATGGCTGCTTATACTTCTGCACAGACCTGAGCTGGAGCTCGTATGAACTGTATCTTCCAGCAATCAGTAAATGAAATGCAATTAGCAAGGTGATGAGATTAATCACTTGATCACCACCTTAGACCTCTTAGTGGCTATGCTGAGATCCCTTGATGGATGATGATGTGGATTTGCAAAGTATGGTTCATCCTCATCACTTGCTCTTTGCCCTCCTGTGGTGAAATTAAAAACAAAATAGTCTCTGAGCAGGAAAAATAGAAGCTGCATGTAAAAGTCTGGCAGTAAGAATAAATTATAGAATTAACTAGTTCAACTAGTTAACTAGTGAAGCAACAGCATTCTGTTAGCAGCCCTCTCCGTGTGACTTGCCTTGTTTGTCATTTGAGCCTGGGATCCTTTTCTTTTGTTTCCATTGCAGAGACAGAAAGACAAATGGGACAGGTTAGTGCATGCACTTTTCCAGTGGGGAAAAATCACTTACAGCTCTGGTAATTGACACCAAAAGAACACTTTCTCATTCCAATTTGGTAGTAGGAATTTTCTCTCCATTACCAAAGTACACGGTGCATGGCATTCCATACGTTGTTTATAAATCATTGCTTGGGGACCTTAAATAGCAATTCTGGCCCCATCTGCCTTCCTTCTGTTTCAGAAAGACCCTCAATAGCCTTTTTATGCAGAAAAAAAAATCAAGATCTCTTTTGTGTTTATTTCTGCTGGTTGTTTCAATCACTTGTACCGTGTGTTTGTTACCTTCCATGTGAAGTAGTCTTACTGGGTTCCCTATTCACATGGTACCAAAACCCAAAGTCATTTCCAAACTGCCACTCAGACTGCTAAAATCATGTTAGCCTGTGGTCTAAATCTTGGAATCCTTACGTTTCTCAATTGATAATGTCTTTGTATGACCATAGCATCATAAAAACGCCCATTTTGAGGAACTGTAAGTCTGAACTAACTTAGTGCTTTGTTTCCAGAAGCGAAAATTAGAAATGCTGTTTCAGGAGAACGTGTGAGCCTTACCACTTTCTGCTCTGTTCCCCTCAGTGTTCCTCTGCATCAACAATTGCTGTTTGAAGGATGCTAGAGAACACATCCCTGCCTGTTTCTTGTAGTGTTTGTTGTGGACTGAAGTGAGGCATCAGTGTAACTTAGGATCAGTCCTAAAGACAGACTGAAACGTGAGCTCTCTCTTTTCTTCTCCTGGGAGATTTGTTCCCTTCAACACTGTTTTCTTCTCCAAACTGTACTTCAAGTTGTGGATCAGCTTTCTGTGCTGCCTTTGGGACCCCCGCATTTGGCTGTGGCTTTTCTCAGTGTGGTTTCTCAGGGGTACCATATCAGCATGCAGTTATATCGTTTCATAGCAGCTGAGTAACTAAGGTACCCCGTGCAACCCCATTGTGTGGAAGGGGATACTTCTAACCAAGGCTAATTTTGCCTTGAGATAAGCTCTAAAAAGATTCCATTTTTTGTCCCAGGTATTTCAGTGTATGTCCCACTACCTTTTTCCAAACACAAAATGAGCCGTGGTTATATTACAGTGAAGCTTTTTATGACTGTGATGAGCGAAGATGTACATATATATGTGTATGCATGGTATGGGTTACCTACATCATTTCCCCTTGCTGTGTCAGGACAGTTCAGTCCTATATGAGCATCTACACAATCGTATAACATTTTCCATCAAACTAGGCTTTACTGTTTTAACTTGGTGCCGATTCATCAGGGGACACTAGTGGCCACTTTACACATTAGAACATGGCAGAACATGCTGTGAGCTCTCATGTCCTGTGGCAGGGTCAGAGGATGGACTGCCCCAGGTTATTGTCATAGGTTTTTTTTTCATTATTTTTTCCATCTCTGTGGTAAAACTTGTAAAAGCTTGTGTTCCTACTGCCTAATGTACTCTTGTAATGAAATGTCTCTCTGTTTCTCTCCCCTCCCGCCCCCCCCCCCATTTTCTTTCTTCTAGTTCTTCATGTTTATTTTGTTAATCTTCCTGGCGGAGCTTTCAGCTGCAATTCTGGCTTTTATCTTCAGAGAAAATGTAAGTATCCTATGGTGGGCAGGCTCTGAGCCCTAGTGGGATTGTACCCAGCTGGAGGATGGCATTAGTGCCTGATTCATTTCACTGTAACTGTTTCAAATACCAACAAACCTGCTTCCTTACTACTTGCGGTCTGCAGAACTGCCAGCAATGCTAGTTAGGCTGGTATGTGCAAGGTGGATGCTTTATGTACGAGGGATATATATGTTGTGGGACTACTTAAATCCTGAAGACTTTAGTCTTCTCGATTCTTTCACAGCCAAACCAGCTGCACATTCCATCAGGGGAAAGTTTTGCAATAATGCCACACTAAGGTTAAAAGCAACTATTTTCTTTTTGCAATATAGCATGTGTTTAGTATTAATATTAATAGTGAAACCTCCTGTTTCCCCAGCAGAACCAATGCTTCCTCTGTCTGCAGTGCAGAAACTCTCTTGGGCACTGTCTAATATTTCTTCTTGAATTTTCATGTTCTGATAGTTGCCAGATTCCTTTCAATTCTGCCTGCAAGATATGCCTCCCCTCCTGCTCTGACTGAGTCTCCCCTGGCCCTTCTGGAGTCCATTCAGAGTTCTTTTTCATGTAGCCTTGCTCACAGATTTCGAGTCCTTCTCTGCACAGCTTCATATGATGTAGCCTTTTTCTACACTGCTGCTGAGCATGTTATTAAGTGCCCATCATCCCTCTCCTATGTTAGCAGTAAGCTTGGTCTCATGTTTCTCAGACATGCAAGAGTTTGTGGCTTTTGACCAAAAACAGGACAACAAGCACACAAAGAGGAGCTGGGCTGAACAAGGCTTATCCTTCTCAAGGCAGCTCACTTCTGAAATGTGACTCTGAGTGATGGCTGTGAAAAGACATCAGTTAGTAACAGTGGTCACTGGTGACTGTTAGTTTTTATTTTGTTTGTTTGGTGCCTGCCACTAGTTAGGGAGCTTTTAGCACCTTACCCATGCTGATCATCACAGAAATGTAACGTGAGCAAAGGAGGACTTTGTAAAACAGTGATAACAGTGGTAACATTTTCTTGAGCCAAGATACACTTCTAGTTTTTTCATATAAAGAGATTTTGATAAGCAAAGAATTAAGAATTATGAAGCTCACAATGAAGTGGTGTGCTGTTGTGTGGTGAGATAGTCTGGGAAAAGGTGGCAGGAGGAATTTTTCCCCTCTTCTTCCCCTCCCCCCCTTATTTCCTTCTTTTTTTTTTTGCCCTTTTTGTTCCCAAAAGTCAGTGGTCTTTTGTCTTTGCCTCGGATTTGAAGAGTTGGGAAAGAGTAGCACTTGGTGCACAGTGTGGGAACTCCATTACAGCTCAGGCTTTGAGGTTGTGCCTTTGTGGGAGTAGCTACAGCGCTGTAAGTAGATTTCAGCACGGGAGGTCTGGTGTGCTCTGGTCATTACAGCTCTGCTGTTAGGAGGTTTTAGGGGATTCCTCTGTTACAGCACGAGCAGCAGACCGCACACATAGGAAGTCTGTGTGCAGCACTGCCCTGCAGACCCAGGTACAGTGTTTGTGGAGGAGGTATAAGCAATCCCAGTGAGTGATATGTGGGGAACTTAGAGCAGGAGTGAGAAACTGGACAGGCACAATTCTTCCTGTATGTGGAGTGGCTGTGCCTTCTTCCCTCAGCCACAAGGATCCTGAAAAGCCTTGTGTTCTTCCAGTACCATGGTGACCATGGGATATGTGACAATGTGATGCTCACAGATAAGGCCACAGTGGTTATTCTAGACTTCTGTGACATCTGGTGATGCTTTGTGAGTCAAAACCTGAAGGAGAACAAAATATTTTATCTTTCCTGAGCTTATCTCCTTGTTTGCGTCACCAGCTTCCCACCCTGTCAGAATGACTGACAGGAAGGGCAGAAAAGAGAGAAATGAAGGATGTCAGAATCCCAGCAGTTGGAGATGTCTCTATTCAGAAGTTAAACTCAGTCTGAAAATTCTTGTGGTTTGTCTTCTCTTAAAGGTTTCTTCTGTACAAAGTCTTGCTTTGCTGTTGCTATGTGTTTTGGTGATGGCTCCTCTGGCTTGGTAACTACTAAGAACTAACGTTGTAATTGCTGGGTTGGTGTGAGGCTTGATGGCTGGACAGAATGTCTGTGGGGACGAAGGGTTGAACTTTCCATCCTTCCACGACCACAGAAGGTCAGGATCAGATGTGCTTTTCTCTTCCCTGTGTAATGACTTATTTTCAAAGCTTGCAGTGGTAAGTGCACATTTAGGCAACCTACATTTTCTGTAGAGCTGCCGGATGCTTTCCCATCGTGGTCATTGCACCAGTCCCTATGGCTTTGGCCACACAGGGTGTATAAAGTGAGACAAAAGGGATACGCTCTGTTTGCTTTCCAGATGATGGTTGGTGCAGCTTTCTCTTGTGTAGTTTTACATGCAAACTAGCTCCCAACACTCAGAAGAGTTAAATTATTAATAGCTGTGGGAGTAAGAGGAATTAAGACACAGAAGGGAGGAAAGAGATGTTTTCTGCAGAGATTGGACATGAGAGGAAAAGTTGGTGAAGCACAGCGTGGTGGCGAGGTGAGTGAAAGTGATGTTAGCAGTGATGAGCTAATATGCCATGCAAGACCTCTGGGACTCCCACATTATTGCTTTAAAGCAGTCTCTGAAGAGGAAGACTGTGGTTAATTGAATGTGGGAGTACCAGAGTTTCTCTTCCTTCACAAAGAAAATTTGGGGCAGCAGAGAACCCTGTTTTTCAACAACACTGGTTATCTCAGTCTCTATAAATAATGTGAACAACAGAGAGGCATCGCTTAGAGTCCATGGAAAAGAGATTCGACTTCTATTCAGGATTTGGTCTCCATGTGCCAGAGGAGTGGAGGGGAAGAGCTGTGGAGGGTGCTGGACTTTTTTTCAGGCCTTCGGTGTGACAGAGCTAATGACCACACCTGAACTTTGTGTGGCTGAGATCAATTCTCTTCAAAATGTGTTTGTGCTTGAATGACTGTGTCCATCTGAGAGATTTGGTGAATTGCATTAGCAAGCAAGAAAGCACAGGGTGATAGGGACACGTGAGTCCAGTGGCAGGGCTCTGAACAGACTCAGAATGTTTGCATTTTCATCTTTGGTTTTGACACTTGAAATACAAGTCGCTTTGGTTTCTGATAGCTCTGTTTCCTCAGACATGGGGGAAAACTAAAGAAAACGCACAGTCTGTCCCTAGGTTGACATGGGTAAGGTCTATCTTACTGACTTTTGTCCCACTTCGTCAGCAGTTTACCTTTGCTGATTGATTCTTAACTTTTTTTCTGAACATCACGTCCTCAGGACAAACAATTTAAGAGCAGCAAAATGGAATCAGTTATTTCCCTGGCAGACATGCTTTTCCAGAGCTAGGCTTTGTTTTGGGCCAAGTCTCGTAAAAATCACACACAAACTCTGAACAATTTCCTCTGGGATTGCTGCTGTCAAAATAAAGGTTTCACTTTATATTTAAATGACTCTTTTGTTTTAGACCCAGCCAAAGGCAGCCGGCTGGGATTATTACCAACTGTAATATCAGTTTCAAAGCCTGCGCTTCAGAAACAGACAAGCATCAGAAAAATGTGCTGCTGTCTCTGCAGGAGAGGATGCTGGGTGGGTGAAGTATGCTCTGAGAGGGAAGGAAAGGAGAAGACCGAGGGCAGGTTTCAGCATCTTCAAACCTAGGGCACCAGATTCCCAAGGGAAAATGCCAGTCCTTCAGTCCTTTCTGATTCCCTGGTATTTTAATGTTGAAAAGAAAAAAAGAAAAATTAAAAACTTAAAAATCTGTCTCATAAAAGTGATTTAGGAACTTAGCGGCCCATCTAATTAAAAAGTAATGAGATTTAGCTCCCTGTGCCATTCAAGTCTTTGTGACTACCCAGTATTGATGCAGTCATTAAATTTTGCCTTTGTATCTGCAAAAGAGAAATCAATATGAAGTGGTATTCTGGCTCTTTTAAAGAATCACAGCAGCCTTATTGGCTTTCCTTGAGGTTTGTGGTATAGTTACAAAAGAAATGGTCAAGTTTGTGCTTGTGCTTTTGTGCCCACCCATACGTCTCATACATATGTATGTGTATGTATTTCACATTGTGTATCAAGAACTTGAAACCAACTTGTAGCAGTTTGTGTTAGTGCATATGCAATGCTTTGTGAACAACAGGAAAGAAAAAAAAAAAAAAGGCTCTTTCTCAGGCAGCTTAATTCTCAGTCCAGCAAATACATAACACAGGAATAATGCTATATCCAGCAGAGTCCAATCCCTTTCACCCAAGCTTTGTGCTGGTGTAGAGGTGCCTGTGTGGACCACAAATCAGAAGGTATTTTAGACAAGGGACCACACAACTCAGGGCCTACTGGGAACATGGAGAGGGGGATGTCTTGAAGTTTTCATCCTGAAGTGATAGAGAGGGCACAAGGTTGAATCAAAGTACTCAATTTAACAGGACTTTTAAGTTTGCATGGTTATTGGTCCTCCAGAGAGCAATCCTGCATAAATGTATTTTCAAGGTGTCTAACTGTTTCAGGAGTCTCTGAGCAGAGATGTTGGTTTGTTTTTTCTATTTTACAATAAATGCAAGCAGGAGTAAATTAAATTCCATTAGTTTTTATCGTTGACCTTAGGAAAAAAAATGTTTAAATTATCTAAAATTGGAAATATAAAGAGGGTTTTTTTCTTCGTGTGTGGGTGAGTTTAGATACTCCAAAGCATTGTGAGGGAAACAATCTCTTCTCTGATTTGTGAGTTGACTTGAACATTTTGCATTCATTCCACGTGTTTTAATTCCTTTTCCTTCCAAGGAAATTTAGTGTTTGGGCTTCATTCTGCTTTCTCACACATGGAAGTAAATTCAGAGTTCCCCTGACATTAGTTAGAAGTTAACTGGTTTGAAATGAAAGTGAGGGGAAAAATCATGTCTTGATTGCAGACTTCAGGAAGCATAGTAAGTTAAGCTACTATTTGGGCTTGGACTTCAAGATCTTTCTAAAATCTACTTTAGTCATTTCAACTTATGGAACACTTTCAAATACTCAATATTAAAAAAAAAGAAGCAAACAATACCCATCAACCTTTAAATGTATACATTAGCTTGCAAATATAGATATAATTCGCTCCCTGATGTTTAATGAGCAGTTTTATTGAACAAGTACCAAACACCCTGGGCACAGCAATGGTTCAGCCAGTGGCTTTTCCCATGTTTCTCCTCCGAGGTCTGCATAAAAGAACAAAACCACACCAATCAAATCAACCAATGCCCAGTATTCACAACAGGGAGGTTTGAGAAGTGCTTGAAAGAGAGATGTTGGCAGTAACCCTCTGCATTCCCACTTGTCTCTGTGTGTTTCAGCTGACGAGAGAGTTTTTCACCAAGGAGCTGAAGAAGCATTACGTGAGGAACAATGACACAGATGTCTTCTCCTCCACCTGGAATTCTGTTATGATCACAGTAAGTCAGGCCATGCTGGTCCTACGCTACGGATGGTCAGCTGCCATTCATGCTGAGCTCAGCCAACACCTCCTGGCTCTTCCTGGCAATGGTGGGAGAGAGGTGACCGTTCATTGGCAGCCAGGTTTTCCCACAACTAACTGCTCCTGTTGCTGAGAGTAACACTCACAATGACTATCACCCACTGTGGTTTGCCAGTGCTCAAGGATTTGAGCTGACTGACTATGCCCAATTCTAGAACTGGATACAGAAAGCTCTGAAGCTGCCTGTAATGGGCCAGAATCTCCATGCATTCGCCCTAGACACATCACTTTTGAGACTACTTCAAAACCATTCCCAGCCAACAGCAGCCAGAACAGGTGCTAATTAATGGCTTCTTATTACCTCCTGGGAAATGAGATTGTAGGTGACAGATGAGGCAGGAATAGCTTAACAGAATATTTTCAGTGTGTAAACAGTCACCATTGAAGTTGTGTTTGTTGTTATGGATCTAAGCAGCTGGACTGAAGATCAGCTGAGTTGCTGGCATTGGAATTTTTCTTATCTACTACAAACTGTTTGTGCCTGCCTGCTGCAGAAAGTTGTGTGTGCTTGTGTTTGCATGTACACCTGTGAACTTTGTGCCTGGCACAGCCCACATCGTAGCTGTTCAGGAGTGGAAGAGTAGGATGTCAGATTCTGCAAACTAAAAGTCATTTTTAATCTTTAAAGAAAAAGATGACTGCTGCCCTTCATGCTGATTCAGGACTTCAGTAAAGACATTTCCTTTTGGTGGCTGAAAGGAGACAGAGTATGACTTGAATCCTTAAAAAGGCCCTGACTTGAATCCTAAAAAGAGAATTTTCTTGAATTGCCTAGCAGTGCCTTTGAGCAGAGCAGTCCTGGTCATTAGCTCTGGGGAGAATGAGCACTCAGAGCCTGGATTGCACCGCTGGCTCTTTTACAGACTTGCTGGGTGATCTCAGGCGGGTCATTCTGGATGCACTCCAAAGTCCTGTGTAGTTCATGGCAATATTCCCAATGGTACCTTAGAGTCTACTTTGTGACATGGGAACAGTGGGACTTTATAAAAAGAGGCTTTGATGAAACAGAAGCTCCAAGGTACAAGTGCAATCCGCTTCCTTGGAAACAACAGTTGTTTTGTCTCTGCTTTGACTAAAGCTTTGATCCCTGCAAAAATAGGTCTTTGGAAGATGTCTGGTATCTCCTTTGAGGCCAAAGTGTAAACTCTGTCTTTCTTTCTTCTCCCCAGTTTGCCTGCTGTGGAGTGAACGGACCAGAAGATTTTGACGCTGTCCCTCCATTCCCACACTTGTTGGAAGAGGCTATACCAGAGGCTTGTTGCCAGCGAAAGCTCCAGAGCCGAGAAGGGATGATTGTTAACAGGCAAGCCTGCCTCCGAGGCAGCGAGAAATTTCAGAACCGGCAGGTAGGGGCAGCCAGATGGCTGGAGAAAGGGCTTCCCAGCAGGGATGGCTGTGGTTGCCATGGGTTACCTACCCATGAAAGTGGCAGGTTATGCTGTTCTGACTGTAGCTGAGGATGTAACTGCACTTACACTGTTAACAACTTTTGAAGTCACGGACATGTGATACTATAAATCCCCTTTCATTCTGTGTACCGTTAAGTCTGCTGTGCTGTATCAGCAGAAATTGATTTTCGCAGGGGTTTAAGAGGTGGAATAGAAGTTTTATGTCAAGTTTTACTGTGGCTTTAAAGGTTAGTATTGTCTGACAAGTTAACTGACAAGCCATTGCAGGTCAGTGAGGATGGGATAGAATTTGCTCTTACTGGCTGCTGCAGGAGCTCCACTTTAGTTCACAAAGGCTCCTCATCAATACTATATTCAACCAAGAGATTGAGGTTTGAACAGCCACAAAAAAAATTGTGTGTATTTCCCAAGAAAGAGGTGTGTTGGAAATCTGTGTTTTTCTGCCCTTTCACAATTTAGAGTAGAAAGAGTGCATTTCTTTGGACAGGTCTCTTGACTTGGCAATTCTTCTCTATGCTAGACTGGAAAAAGGCAACTCAGAGTAAATTCACTGACATTGATACTACCAGCACCCAAGTTTCCTTACGTTTTCCCCAGTACCTGAAGTTTCAGAAATTTTCTAGCAAAGATCTTGACTGTGTTTATTGCAGCCTTCGCGAGCCAGCTGAACTCTCTACTGACTTGTATGTACAAGCCTTTTCTCTCCGTGCTAACTAGCAGTCCTGTTTTCAGCACTTGATAGCAGATTGTGAAAGAGAGTAAAGGAGTTTGGAAGCAGCGGGTGAGCTGTTCCTTGTCAGACAGCTGGAAACAGTTGGCAAAGGCACGCTGGGTGAGAGATCATAGCAGACAGCGCCGTACTGCATCTGCCAGGTCTGATTGCCATGAATTGATGGGGAGAAGTGAGAGAGAAGAAAAGATGACAAACAGCAGGGAGGGGGGAAAGAAATGCGTTCTGAGAAACAGGGATATAAAGCAGATTAAAATTTTTGCTTTCCTTAAGTGGTGATACTGAAGCCTCCCATTTCTATGGGAAGAGATGTTTTTCTGTGAGCCTTTGTCCTGCATTGTGGCAGTGGGAGAAATTGTGTGCACAGCAAATGTCACCAAGCACAGTGAGGCATTTATATAAAATGGGAGATGCTCCCAAAGAACTGATGGCTGTATTCAAGCATTGCTGGAGCAAAGTCAGGCTGCTGGGACAGTCCTTGCCACATCTGTACTCAGTATTGTTTTCAGCCTGCTGAGCAGGGCATGCTGAAAGTTGGGTTAAGGCTGCAGTTCTAGCAAGCACCCAGACATCTTGTTGCTGGGCTGGATGTTTTTTTCCTGAAAATTGGGCTGACAACACAACAGGAGCAGAGCCTCATGATGACAAGAGTGCTGCTGCCTCAGTCATCTTCATTCCCTGGGTTTGTAGCATGAATGAGTCTTCTCTTTCCCTTGCTTTCTCCTGGTTGCTTCACTCCTAGTGAGCAGAGTCTGACATCACTATGTAACTGTCATTGCCATCTCTGCATTTCAGATATTTTCCTTTTAGGTGAAAAGAAAAAATCAGGTGATTGAGACATCCCAGATAAATGGATGGGACTTGTGTATTTTTAGTGAGCAGGAGAGGTGCATTTTTCATTAGGCAAAATTCAGTCTACTTTTCTCTTTATGTATGACCTATTGTCAGAAATTTGCTAGTGGGTTGGAATTTTAGGCTGAGAAGTGAGGATTTTAGGGAGAAATAAGGCCAGGATAAGCTGGTGATTTCCTGAAACACCGAAAACTTTGCAGAGTGTCTCCATGCTCTTAAATTGTATAAGCAATAAGAAATTACATTAAAGCCAATGGTAGCTGTGCTGCATAAATGGAAGTATTGTAGTAGAGCATGGCCCCGAATTCTTCATGACATCAATTCTCCCATATCCAGAAGAGCAGGTGTTCATCCATGCGCCTGCAGAGGGAAGGGTCAAAGAAAAGGTCCCAGTGTGTGAAATAGCTGCTGGCTGTGACTGAATTACAAGTGAAGAATCTCCTGCCTTGGCTTTAAATAAATAGCCTGTATCCCCAGTCTGCCACAGCTGCCTGTCATGTGCCCAGAGGGCCCTTTTCTTTGTGCTTAGTCTCTTCCCTTTGCAGAGGGAATGCCTCTCTCCTGCTGCTCCTCTCTGTCCTGCAAGAAGTCACGGTTCCTCCTGCTCAGTGAGGGCTTGGGGGGCTGTGCTGAGGGAACAACTCCTTGTGTTGCTCATGTGGTATCTCACTGTGTTCTGTCCCTCCTAGGGCTGCTACACTGTGATCCTGAACTCCTTTGAGACCTACGTGTATCTTGCAGGAGCCCTGGCCATCGGAGTGCTGGCCATTGAGGTACTGTTGTTTGATCATAAAAGCAGTGTTGGTGGATGTCCAGCAGCGAGACAGGGAGCTGCTCCTGCAGAGTGCTAGCAGGTTATCCACTTGTGGTTTTAATCGCCTAGAAAGAGGCGGGCACTTGGTCCCTTGCCACAAGAGGCAGGGAAATAATCTCTGTCATGAGCCTGCAGTGCCGCCTTGTGTTGGCCATGGCACAGAGTTTGCAGCCGTGGTACTTTGGCCACAGAGGCTTTGGGAACCTCACTGTGTGCCCCAGGGCATGATTCTTATTCCCATTACAGCTGCATCTCAGCAAGCTGACTCCTATGGTTAATGTGCTCAAACTCTGCCTTTGCTTTAAGAATTTCAGTTTAGAGACTGACATTGTACTGGGCTAGGGGCATCTCCATTATCATCCCACATTAGCTCTTTGGTGGTGTTCCAGTGGAACAGGGTTGCCCCACAAAGATGTTAGTCCTGGAGAGACGCTGGGTGCTTTCCCCAGTGCCCGTATTGTGAAAAGGAGAGGCAGCCCCCACGAAGGCCCCCCTGCATCATTCTTCTGGAAAATGTAGCCGTTTCTTACCGTTCAACATTTTATTTCTTCCCTCTTCTTCCCCCCTTAGCTGTTTGCCATGATTTTTGCCATGTGTCTCTTCCGAGGGATCCAGTAAGAGGCACCCTGCGGACCACCACATTCCTAACATTGGAATGATGCTTGGAAGAAAGAAGGAATATCAGACGAAACACAACCTGAAAACACATGAGAAACTTTATTTTTTTTAACAAAATGGGATAGGGGGGAAAAATGGAGGGGAAAAAAAAAAAAAAGAGGGCTGTAATATATGAATGACCAAAAGGATTGTACTTCAGGGGCTGGAACTTTGAGGTGATGTGCACTACACTGTACACCGGAGCCTTGCCCAGAGCCACCCACGGCAGCTGTGGAGCAGGAGCCCAGTGCAGCCACTTATGCTATGGACAGATGGAGCCTATGGGGAGGAATGGGAGGACAAGCACAGCTGTCCCTCTCACCTGTCAGTGCAAAGCAGTGCCTACCATCCGCAGCTTCATCGTGATTTAGACAGCAAAGGACTGAAGAACAGCAACCCAGGGGCAGCAAGGTTGCATCAGGCAGCGACGTTGGCCAAAGTATGGAAACCCACCTGGGCAGTCCCGACAAGTGGTGCTGGCAGCTCATCTAAGAAACAGGCAATCATTGCTTGTGTGATTCCGGCTATAATTCCCAGCCACAGAGTGAAAACACACATTCTTCCTTGTACGTAAGTTTTGCCCCTATTGCCTGAAACTTGTCAGAGAAGTCAAACACTTCGGGCAGTCTGGCTTTTCTCTGGAGCCCTAAATGGGGGCAGAGTGGTCTCACTTAAACATGGGACTCATCCAGGGCTGGCTGATGGTCAACAGTTTGGGGCCTGCCTTTCTGATTTTTCCTTTTTTGTTCAGTGTTACTGGGAAGGAAAAAAAAAAGAGCAAGTTGTTCCCTGCTGTGTTCCCATTCCCTGGGAAAAATGATGACTCTGGTCAAGAATAGCTAATTCTGCTGCCTTCCTGAAAGGGGAAGCAATAGTGTTTAACACTTGTCAGCCTTTGCCTTTCACTTCATCCTTGCAAAAAAACACTCTGTGGTGGTGTTATTAGTATATGAGGGCTGCTCTGAAAGTAAAGCCTCCTATTGTATTATATTTGCCCACAAAGTCAGAGGCGGATGTTGGTAGTATGGCAGTAGTGGTTGAACCTTCCCATCAATATCCCATTACATGCCATTGCTATACATCAGATGGCAGGAGAAGGGGCAGTTTGACAGAATGGTGTCAGACATGCCAGTGCTATGAAACAAAGGCGTGTCATAGAATTCATCCTTGTGGAAAAACATGGCACCCGTTGACATTCATCAACTTGCTGAATGTTTCTGAAGACCAAACAGTGGATGTGAGCACAGTGAGGTGCTGGGTGGTGCATTTCAGCAGTGGCGACAGTGGGACACCTCCACTGGTGCAGATATTTATGAGCGTGGCATGCAGGCTCTTGTTCATTGCTAGTGAAGGTGCACGGCTAATGGTAATGATTATGTTGAAAAGTAGTGACTTGTAGCTGAGAATTTGCTCTATCAAATACTGTTATTGTGCTCTTTGTTGTAGTTTCCATGGAAATAAATAGGAGGCATTACTTTTGGAGCAACCTATGTATATTTGCAGTGGATTCTTATAAGCTTTACTGCTCCAGCAGGATTTCCAGGCATAGTACACGATGAGCCTGAGGTTCATCAGCCACTCCCATGCTGTTTACCTTATGCTGTCTGTGGTCTCCTTTCTGCTCTGGGGATTTCCCCTGAGGCTTTCCCACGGGCTCATAGCAGAAGCATCAAGTCAGGATTGTTCTTGCCTGCCTGTTGAGAGCGTTTCCTCCCTTAAGATAGTTTGATGTTTTGCTGATTGTTATCTACTTAATCATTTGGAAATGAACTTGAGAAACATGCCCAAGACTGGATGTTGGTCAGAGATATTAAGGTGGAGCTGAGGTCCCAGGCAGGATCTGGGAGCATTCGGTGCGCAGCTGCTGTGACTACTCCAGCTGCTTCTCCAGTGTTTGTGGTCATTGACAAAAACAGGTCACTGGTTTCTATCCTCTGGAAGCCTCAGCCCCTGTTGGCTTTGTCATTCCTCTGGTTGCTCCCTGACTCCAAACTCGCTTTGTCTGGAGGAGGATGGCAGGGGCTACCTTTTTCTGTTTAGCTTACATCTTTTTATAGTCTTAGATTAAGGAGCACTTTTATATAGGATTAAACCAGTCCATCCAAAAGCGGTAGCCACTGCCAAGGAAGGAAAGGGGGACGAAGGCAGCAGTGAGGAGCCAAGCAGCAGCCTCCTGCCCTGGCTTGGCAGCAACAGGTATCTTACACCATGGGGTCTGTGTCCGCCATGCGGATGCAAGTGAATGGATGTGCAGGCTGCAAGGCAGGAAGGAAAGCAGAAGAAAGAGTGGTCCATAATAAACAAAGATCTTGGCTAAATATCCTGGCTGGAGAATTGGGATACAAAGGAATTGGAAAGAGGCCATAAAGCTTTTCCAGGCTTCACTTGAGAAAAGCAGGATAAAGCTGGGGCAGGTAGAGCAGCAGCCCACCTGCACTGTGTCAGCATATTCCAGCAGGAGAGTGAGGCCAGGATTGCTGAGTGGCCTCAGATGTTGCATTAAACTTTATGGAAAGCTTTTCTGAGTGGTTTCCCTCTGGACCTGTATTTAATGATGCATTTTAGCATTAAATTCTGGCCTGTCGTTTAATGAAGGAAAACAGTTTTGCTAGCCAAAACCAGCAGTATTTTCACTAAATAGCAGGTGCTGCTCTTAAGATAGGAAAAGTCTGTTGCATCTGCTGGTCTTGCAGGAATGGGGCACTGCACCGGAGCCAAACTCAGAGGCAAGGAAGCGTAACTGTTCTACCTCTGCTTCAGGAGCTGGTGTCAGTGGCTGTTCTGATAGAGCCACTGGCAGGGGAAGAACGACCCCATGAGCAGAGATGGCAATTTGGATAGAGGTGAGCAAGAGAAGCAGAAATACTTCAGAAGATTGAGGTAGGATTGCTGCAGGCTTATTTCTCTTTGGCTTTCCCAGTTCTGTACTGTTTTCTTTAGTTTTAGCTCACATCCTCTCTCTATCTATCACTTGTCCCTATACCTTCAAAAGACCCTTTATTCTTCTAGTGTTCTGGTCTTTGTGCAGTTGTTTCCCCTCTCTTAGCTTCTCTGATCCTCCACCGCTCTTTTCTGGATTAAGACCTCAATTCTCTGCAGCTGTGCCATTGGGAGCACAGCTTAAAGTCACCGCAAAGGCCAGGCAGCACATTTAAATGAGAAATGGAGATCGTTGTAGAGATAAGGGCAAGTCTGAGAGTACCTGTGGAAGTAGGCAACGGGCAGAAGGAGTCGATTCCAGGGGCAGTTAATGAACAAGGGAGCACAGAAGGCAGACTCCTGTTGTATGGCAAAGTGTGTCAATTTGTTGTTTTTGTCCGATGGTAATGTGGCCACCCCCTCTGTTGTACAGTAGTTTTTCTCTTTTCAGAGTAGGCAGGAGAAGCAGCTGTATTTTTGTATTTGTTTTTAGCAGCTCTGGTGAATCTGGGGGCTCAAGCTGCAGTCGCTGCTGGCTGCAGAGCAGAGGGGGCTGTGGCTGCCGTGCAGTGAGCACAGCCTATGCACCTTGGGGGGAATAGTGGAGAGCAGCCCCCCATCCTGCCCCCAGCTGTTATTTAATGCTCAAATGACCGTCGCAAATGCCTGGGGAAAGGGCTGCGTGTGAAATAATGATGTTGGAAATCTATTTTAAAAGAAAAACCTGTAAATGTTCTTTTTATTAGATAGTGGAGCTAATTTATCCTGTATTCCCTACTGTAATGCTTTTTTATATTGAAAGGAATTTTTTTTGGTAATATAAAGCAGAACACAAGGCTGAAACACTCCACGGTTTTTGTGTGCGTTTCTTAAAAAAAAAAAAAAAAAAAAAAAAGTAAAAAATAAAAGAAAGATATTGTGACAGTGAAGTGAAACAGCTTTAATTTTCACTATTTGCTTGGTGTTAAGTACAGTCACTTTCTTACCAAAGGAAAAAGAATAAAGTCAGTTACAGCAGCCAAAATGAGGTATAAACTCAAGTGTCCCATTCTCCCCTTCCCCCCAAGTAAAAACCCTTGACCAGAAAGAATTGGCCAGCTTAGGACAGACAGACAGACAGCCTCTCTTTTGTCACCAGCTCCAGTTTGCCAGATGGTGGTTAGGCGTAAATAAGGCGATGCAGAGAGTTCCGTAAATGTAAGCTTTCTTCACCCTCAAAAGCGAGGGCTCGAGGAATGCAAGGCTTTGGTTCTCCCCCATGGAACAGGGTCAGTCCTGCCTGTGCCTGCTCAGAGCACAGCCCTTGGAGAGCATGGCCTGCAGCCCTGCCTGGCGCTACATACATGCAAGCAGGTGAACTGCAAACTGTCCCTGGAGAGATGACGTCAGTCCAAAGCTTTTCTCACACTTTAACAGATAAGGAAACTGAGGCCAACAGAGATCTTCTCTCAGCACATCAGAGCCTGAAGTGATGCCTCAGGCTTTTGATCCCAAGTTATGTACTCAGCTGTCACCTGCAGCCATGATCCCAGCGCTGCTATCCTTAGAGATGCAGTACAAAAGCTTCAGCATTCCCTTCCCTTTTTCCCCCCAGTCTTTATCGCTGAAGACAAACAACCACAGTTGTTTTCTGGCAGCACTGCAGGTAGACATCAAATGTCAAAACCAGAAGTGGCTCACTGTTCTAAGTCCTGAAGAGACAACAAGGAACTAAAGAAGAATCTGACCTCATTTGATGTAAAGCTCCCATTGGAGAGCTTTCACGGTGCCCCTATCTTCTTTAACCATCAAGAAGTTCTAAGAAAGCTGCTCTCACATACATAGTGCACTGACTCGTTTCTCTCACCAGCTAGTTGGCATTTCCAGGTACCCTGATCAGGCAGCCAGCCACAGCCCCAAAGTCACAACACAACTAAGATCCTCAGTCTGCTGCCAAAGTGAAGGGGAGAGGACAGCATGAAGAAGGCCCTCCATTTCCTCTTCTGTAAGATTGCTCTTAGCTTGGTCAGTTTTACTTGTGTTTTTTTTTTTTTTCCCTAGAACTGCTATTTCCCACCCCCTAAACCCAACAATCAGTCTGTGTATACATTCACGTGACCCCAAAACACAAAGACTCACGCTTCACTTACCTATACCAACAACTGCAGCTGCAGCACTGGGCTGCATGCACTGTGCTGCCCATGCGGCCAGTGTGCAAGGTGGGAGCAGCAGCCATGGCTGCTGCCTTCTAGCTCTGCTGCCAGCTCTGTGCTGCCCTCAGGGTTGCATGTCATCATTTCTTGCCTCACAGGGAGATGATCTCCCTTTCAGAGCCTAACACTTCCACCTGAACAGGAAGGCTTCTCTTAAATAGAAATTTTAGTTGCTCACTATCCTGTTTT